TCCTCTCGTCTGCACTCAGTGACTGTCAGGAAGCATCCTTGTGGGGTGACTCGAGACCCTCACTGAGTTCTGTTTGAAAATAGCTTTAGCTTTGTTTTCTCCCCCGTTTTTATTAGTATACGTGTGTGATAATAAATATAATAAATATATTCACTCGTCACGGGGAATTGGAAGATGTACGTATTGGGTCTTGATCCTTTCTACTTCCGCTTCCCCTTTCCTCATCCCCAGGCCCCTTTCCCAACTCCTCAATCTCCATTTCCTATCATCTACCATTATTTATTTATTTATTTATTTAGAGTCTAGCTATGTAGCTCAGGCTGGCCTTGAACTCACAGTGATCCTCCTGCCTCAGCCTCCTGAGTGCTGGGATTACAGGTGGTGTTCACCACTATGCCAAACTATTTTGCTCTTTAAGTTATTTATACTTTGGGTTTTCCATGTAAGAGAAACTGTGATGTGAAACCTCCTGCATCCGACTTACTTGGCAGTTACTTCACTTAACTTTATAGTTTCAAGGTGTCCATTTTCCTACAAATGCCTCAAGTTTATTCTTCTTTATGGCAGAGTAGTACTCCATTGTGTGTAATACCACATTTTCTTTATCCATTTATCTGTTGATGGACTGCTTCCAAGGTTTAGCTGTTATGAATTGTGCTGTTATAAACACGGGTGTGCATGTGTCAGTGTAATATGATGTCTTTAACTCTTTTGGGAAGATATCAAGAAGGGGAATAGCTGAGGAAAATGGGATTTCTAGTTTTAGATTTTTGAGGAATCTCCACACTAGTTTCCACAGAGGCTGTGCTAGTTTACATTTCCGCCAACAGTGTGGCAGGGCTCCTTTCTCCCTGCAGCCTTGCCGGGCATTGGTGGTTGTTTGATTTCTTACTGAAGGCCATTCTTTCTGAGGTAATAGAGAATCTCAGTGTTGTTCTAAGTCGCATTTCTCTATTGGCCGGTGGTGCTGAGCATTTCTTCATGTATTTACTTACTGGCCATCTGTACATCTTCTGAGAAGTATCTGGCCACTCCAGGCGCCCATGTTTTGATTAGACTTTTCTTTTGAGGGTCTAATTTTATTGAGTTCTTTACACGTTCTAGACATGAGTCCTTTGTCTGAGGAATCACTGGGAAAGTTTTTATGGGAGGAACTTTCTGCGAAGACACAGGAGTAGGTTTTTGGGGGTGCCCGGGATCCTGCCTGGGGCTGGGCTGCTCCATGTGTGACCGACATTGTCATGGAGTTTGTTGTTAGGAAAATGATAACAAACGCGGGTCAGTTTCTTTATCCTGGTTTCCCTCGAGCATTCCTTGTACCGATTCCCTTCTTAATCTTTTTTTTTTTTTGGTACCGGGGATCAGACTTGGGTTCTTGTGCTTTAGAGGCAGGCAGTGGCACCACTGAGCTACATCCCCAGCCCTAATGATGATAATAATAATTGAGACCCCTCGGACTTGGGGGCACAGGCACTGTTTTGGTGTCAGCGCTTAGGGAGGTTATGAATTGGTGACTGTGTGCTAAGCTGCTTCTATTGTAGGCTTCGAAAATTTATGCTTTTTTCAGTCTGCTGTTTGGGGAGCACTGGGCCCGGGAATGCTTGCTGAAGCCAGCTTTGGGGAAAGAGGGTTTGGTTTCCAGACACTTCCTCTTTGCCAGGAAGTTAACCCACAGAAGTTTCCACCTCCCTTCATGATTTGGCTTGCTAATGCAGTGGGGACTCCCAGGGAGCTGCAGGAGCCAGAGGAGCCCCCATCTGCAGCAAGGCCCAGGGCAGGGGGCTCACAGTCCATGGGCACGGGTCAAGGCCCAGGGTCACCCCACAGGAACCGGCCCCAAGTCTGGTGCTGCTTCTGTTCACTCACTTGGGGTGGCTTTGGTGTGGCCCAGACACCCCAGGGGGGTTACACCAGGTGCTAAAATCCTGGCAGACTCTGGTGTCTGTGGTCAGGGCCACTGTCCCATCGGCTTCCGCCCATCGCCAGGACTCCAGGACCTGCAGCACCAGTGAGTGACATGGGATCTGAGCACCAGGGCGGCTGGGTCGGCCATGCTCCGTGGGCTCCATGCTGCTCTCAGCGCTCAGAAGAGGCCGCCGGCTGCAACAATGTCTGCCGGGATAGACAAGAGACAGAGGAGGTGTGGGGGCTTGGCACAGGGATCCCAGAATCAGCTCAGCACGGAGGACCAGGACCCTGGCCTTATTCTTAGACAAGAGTGGGAAAAAGGGGAACACAGATCCTGGGGAGACTGCACAGGGCTCCTCGTGTTTGGGCCCAGCTCAGGGGAGGTGGTGGGTCAGGTCCAGATGGGCCGGAGGGTGCTCACTGCAGACCCGGATCTGGGGTGGGTGCCTGCCGGGCAGGAAAGGTGCTGTGTGGGCCGGGCTGGGCGGGGGACCCGGGTCTGCTCCTGGGGCAGCTCTGTGACCTGTGGTCACCTGGCTGGGGGTGGGAGGCTGAGACCGGATGTGAGGACCATGCTGATGAAGGCTCTGCCGGCCACTGGTGCCCGGGAAGAACTGGGTCAGCTGTGACCACAGGCGCAGTGGACTGGGGCGCATGGCAGCGGGAGGGGGTATGCCGGTCTAGGTGGAGGGGCTGGGATGGCAGCTGGACGAACAGGGCACCTCTATTCGTGGTTCGCGTAAATTAATTCCTGGAGCATTGCCATGGCAGAAAGGGAGCTTTGTCAGGGGCAGAGTCGGCCGCGGAATGCGGTGGGAGGCTGCTCGGTGGGCAGGGAGCGGTCGGTCCGGTGGCAGTGCCCGTCGGCAGTGGTTTCTCAGGAAACAGCATGTGCACGCGGCTCCTAACCAGCACATTTGGACTCGGCCCGTTCAGACAGCCACGGAGGGCAGTGCTACCTACAGACAGAAGTAGCACGTAACCCAGCTGTAGGACTCCTTGGAATACGCCAGGGGAATGACAGTCGGCACACTGCCGGGGCCCCATGCACACCACAACAGCCAAGATATGGGGCCAGCCTGGGTGCCCGTCAACAGATGAATGGATAAAGAAAATACAGTCGGTATACGCAATGGAATATTATATGGCTGCAAAGAAGAGTGGATGTTTGTCATCTGCAGGAACATGCTGGAGCTGGAGACCATGTTGCGGGGAATTAGCCAGACTCAGAAAGACAGGGGCCACATGTTTTCCATAATGTGTAGCATCTAAAAAGATGCCATGGTAGTAGAAGGGAGAGTTATTAGACCAGAGGAGGGAAATGAGAGCCAGAAGGGAGGGTGCATAGGGAAGGTGCCGGGAGGTCTGATGGGAAATGTTAGTGGCGGGGAAACCGGGTACTTTGGAAAATTAATAGGCACCGATAACAAAAGGGCAAAAGAGCAAGCAGAGGAACAGAGGCTGGGGGGAGACCTGCAGGGGAGAGGGGAAGGCAGGGTCGTTGCCTTTCTACGGGGCCGGGACTGGGGCCTGGCCCTCCTCCCACGGTGGGCGGCAGACTCGACTCCAGGACAGTGTCCAGCCCGGCCGCTCCCCGTCCGTGCGTCTCCGACAATGGCTCCCTTCCGGGGCCTCAGCGTGCTGGGTTCTGAGCCGCCCTCTCCGGCTCACCCACTCCCGGTGGGAGTCATTTCCTTGTCCTCCGCTCTCTCACATACTTGGGATAAATCCACATAATGTAAAATTAAAAATTGCAAAGCCAACAATGCAGTGCATTTAGCACATTCTCAGGGTGCAGCCCCTGCCTCTGTAGTTCAGAAACATCCTCATGGCCCACAGAAGAAGCCAGCACTGCTTGGCCAAGCAGTCACTTCTGATCCCCCCCAAAACTCTCAGTCTGCCTTCTGCCTGTGGATTCACCTTCTGGATATCTTAGGTGAACGGCCTCTTTCAGTGTGTGACCTTTTATCCCACTTGGAATGAGGTTTCTTAGGGGCATCATTGTAGCTTATATCTAGTTCATTCCCTTTTCACGGCTGAGTAATATTCCATTGTAGGAGCGTCTACCTTTTATCTATCCATTTAACAGCTGATGGGCATTGAGGTCATCTCCACCATTAGATATCATAAATAGCACTGCTAAGCTTATCATACGGTTGTTTCGGTCTCTGTCTTCAATTCTTTGGGGAATAAACCTAACAGTGGAATTGCTGGGTCACACTGGATCCAGTTCTAGGTTTAAGTTCTGAGGAACTGGTGGCCTCATATCCTCCCGCCCCCCAGAACATGAGGGCTCCCGTCTATCCCTTCCTGCTGCTTTCCAGCACTTGTCTATCTTCGGTTTTCGGTCTCGTAGTGGCTGTGTATGGTCGCTCGCCATGGCTTCCTCGTCCGTTTCCCTAATGGCGCAGGGCACATGTGTTTGCCGGCCACTTGCTCATCTTCTCTGGAGAAATGTCTGTTTCTCTGTGAGTGTGTCTGTGTGTCTCGGACACCGGGCTCCCGTGGGACAGGTGATGGGCGTCCCCATCCTGAGCCATGTCCATGCACCTGGTTTCCCACTCCCTGGCCCCGGCCGGCTCCGTCCTGGGGCTGTTGTCTCGAGGCGCCTGGCTGTGTCCTCACGGCTCTGACTGCTCCTCGCATGGCTTCCCTGCCTCTGGGGTTCTGTTTTGTTCTGAGAAAGGCGCAGAGCCTCACTGCTGGGCCCCAGCGCAGCGCCATGGGCTGCGTCAGTCGGAGGTCGCTCTCAGGGTTAGGGCTGCCTGGGCTCCAGGCTTCTCCTCCTGCCCCCCGGGATTCATCCCCGCCCAGGCGAGGGACTGTCCCACTCTGGCCTCCTCTTCCGACGCTCACCCACGCGGGCCAGCAGGAGGAAGGGCCGGAGCCACACCGACCAAACGGGGCGCCAGTGTGCTGGTTTCCAGGCCCCTGTAAAAATTCCAGGACCGTTTTTAGAGGAGCCCGCTGCCAGCCAGGGCCCGGAGGAGGGGGGCGGGCCCAGGATGCTCTCCCCAGTGACCTGCTGTGGCTCCCGATGGCGCAGACTAACGTGGTTTTCTGATGTGCATTTTACCTTCTTTCTCTCCCAGAATCAAGGCGGCGGCAGGCGTGAAGATCACAGCGGTGAGGGTCAGCAGCGAGGGCCAGTGGGCCGTGCAGGAGGAGATCGACCACGGAGACACCCAGACCACAGCCGCCCTAGCCTGCGTGGGCCGCCACCCCGACACCCCGAGCAGGTGAGCGGGTGGGTGGGTGCTGGGCCGCTGGGGGAGCCCCTCCTCTTGGCTGTCGGTGCCGGACGCCTCACTAGGCTGCCTCCCAGAAGTTACTTCCGTTTGTCTGAAGCCATCAGGGCTGTTGCCACGGTTACTGTCTGCAGCGACGAGCTGGAGGGTGAAGTGGGAGAAGGAACTATTGAAGAGCCGAGGGGACAGGGCCTCCTGGTGACACACAGGGCGGCTGCAGCCTTCCCTGTCCTCACTGCTGAGGTGTGGGGTGACTCCGCCTGGGGATCTGTGAGCCCAGGTCCGGGCCTCTGTCTCCTCCGGCTGGGGGAGCGGGTGTCACTGGGGTGATGGTTCAGGGGATCCAGGGCCAGGCAGTGGCTCTGCTTTGGCCTCCAGTCTCTAATGCCTCGAGGCCCAGAAGAGATGCTGACTCCCCGGGGCACAGAGGAAAGGTGGGTGGGTGTGGGAGATGTGGAGGAACCCGATGCGGGCTTCCCCTCGTCCCTTCCTGGGCGACCCTGGCCAGCCTGGCTGGTGCCCTCTTCCACCGGCTCCTGACGTCTCTTCCGTCGGGCTGGATGTCTCTCTGCAAAGTCCTCCTTTGCCTCCACAGCACGTTGGGTCAGCAGCCTCCCCTGACCCAGGTTTTGCTGGGGTCTGTGTCTGTTGCTGCATGACCCCAGATCTCTAGTTAGTGTTTGCTCAGCGGCTGGCGGTCACAAGGGAGGGATTATCTGCCCCAAAGAGGCTGCTTCACAGGTGTTTTACTGTGTCCTACCACAAGAAATGGGGAGGTTGGTGGCTCTGTGGCTAATTCAGCAGCTCATCTGTGTCGCCAGGGCATTTTCTGTTTTTCTGCTCCGCTAGAGCCAGTACACCTAGATCATTCTCCAGTTTGCTTCCTCATGGTCACAAGATGGCTACAGCTGTTCCAGACCTCAGAAAGTCACCCAGAAATATCTGAAGACTGGAAGGGAGCAGGGCTTCTCTTCACGTGTCCCTTTTGGCCTGGGAAGACAACCTCTTTAATGGTCTCCATGAAGTCTTCTCCTTAGACTCATTAATAAGCAGTGGGCCTCACGCCTTTGCCCAAGAAGCAGGTGGTCTTAGTTGGACTGATTTTGAGCCATGTAGTGGGAGATGGTCTCTTTGCCCAGGAACGGGGTGGGAGGATGGGGCAGCTGGCGAGGTCCGCCACATTCCTCTCGGTGCTGGCTCACCAGGGGTTTGTCTGCTTGCCACACTGGGTCCGGTCTTAGTCACGCTCTCGTCGCTGGACACAACACCCAACACCCACAGCCTAAGGCAGGGGAGGTTTCTTTTGGCTCATGGTTTCAGTCCATGATGGGCCGACTCCAGGCAGAAACAGCTGGGTGGAAGGGCTGGGTGGAGGAGAGCTGCTTACATCATGGTGCACAGGAAGCAGAGAGAGAGAGAGAGAGAGAGAGAGAGAGAGAGAGAGAGAGAGAGAGAGACACACACACACACACACACGCGCGCGCACACACACACGACAGAGCTGGGGAGGGAGAGGAACCCTCCCAGGCCCCGCCCCTTCCAGGCCCCGCCTCCTACCCAAGCGTTTAACTGTAAACCTGTCAGTGGATTAACACGGTCCCCCATGATCCAGTCACCTCCAGATGCCCGCCTCTGAACATGTGCAGCTTTGGGGACAGGTCCTGCACTCACGAAGTGCCCCACGCACTTCATGCAGGTGGAGGCGTTCAAGCAGACGGAGCAGGGGTGTCGGTCCAACTGCTCCACTGTCTCCCCAGGCCCTGGCCCCGTCTGTGCTCTGGGTTGGCTTCCTGGAGGCAGAGGGGAGGGAGGCAGCTCCCCACATCCATCTGTGGACCTGGTCACTGCAGGGAGAAGCTGTTCTTCCCAGACGAGCCCAGCACAAGCCCTGGGGTCCGCTGTCACCGATTTTGCTTGGTGCCACTTGGATCTTGTGCCAGCCTGAACCAACCATTGGAGCCAGCCCTGAAGGCTTGGGTGGAGATAGTGGAGGGGCTCTGCGGGGGCCGTGGACGCCGATGTCCCCAACAGTGTCACCAGCCCCGATACTGAGCTCAGTGGGCCGGGAGGCTCTCCCTGAGAGAGGGAGGTTGTGGTGGCGTCTGCCTTCTGTGCAGAGCAGATTAGTTCTGCTGAGGTATTTGACTAAGTGGTTTGTTTTAGACTGAAAGAACCGTGCACGCTCTCAAAAGCAGTCATCCCTTTGGTTTTCTGAAAATCATTTTTTGCATTTTCTTTAGAAGAGATTTTAAAAAAGGCTAGATGAGAAAAAAAAAGTCAGGCAGTTCAGTTATATAAGCAGAGTTACATAATTCCAAGACAGCCTGATCTCCTGCGTGTCTCTCTCTCTCCTCCTTCTCCTCCTCCTTCACATTTAGAGTTTGACCTCCCCGGGACTGTAACAAGGGCAGGGGTGTTACACTGGCTTGATGATTTATGCTTATCTAATATCCCTCTAAAATCCACTCCATAATCTAAATAGTGATGGCTTCTTTTTAGACTTTTTGTTGCATTATGATATCAAATGAGGTGTGAAATACAGGCTCATGGACTGGGTTTGTTGCTAACAAAGTGAATATGTGAATATATCCCTAACAAAACATCCCGCAGAAAGCTGTAATCTCCGAATTGTGACAACCTTGAGTGGAAGGAAGCTTTTAATAGAATATAATGTACAAACTGCCTGAAATTCTGAGATAAGAATTCAAAACGTGTCATGTGGAAAGACCCAGTATGCTGGTTGGGAGGGCAGAAAAGGTCTCAATTTAAAATATTTTAATGAAGACTCATTGTGAGGAAATGTGAGCAATAAAGATGAAAACCACAAGATAAAGAGTAGCACTGCCAAAAGAGGGGAGAAGAAATTAGGAAAAATAAGCAAAGCTGAAAGTGTTCCAAATGGATAGCAGAGACACAAGGAGAAAGGAAGGGAGGATGGACCGTTGCGCATGGAGACTATGTGTGGACGGGGAGAGGGAGTTGAGGAGCTGTTCCCAGGTGATTTCTGTCCTGCTGCTGGGACCCAAGCCTCAGAGAACAAGCTACCTCTTTTGCATGGTCAGGGACTGTGAGATGGAGCCACTTCTCTGCAGACACTGCAGTGGTGCAGAGGAGAGCTCCGTGGTCCACCAGGGAATGAAGACAGAAAAGCCAAAGCCCTGAAATGGATTTCTTCATAGGAATAGGCCCACCCAAGTTGGAACCCTGCTCAAGGTGAAGTCAAGGTCAAAGCCAGGTGAGATACAACCATATTTGAAAACCTGGAGACAATCTTTTGAGAATTTTCTTTGCCAACTCAAATCCAGAAAACATTATAACTGTGTTTGTCAGCTTTCCATGACTGTAACAAAAGCCTGAAGTTATCAGTTTATAAAGAGAAAAGGTTTAATTTGGCTAATGGTTTTATAGGAGTCAGTCCATGGTCAGTTGGCCCCGTTTCCTTTGGGCCTGGACTGGGGTAGTGCATCACAGCAGGGGGGGGTGTGTGGTAGAGCAAAAGAAACAGGAAGTGGCTGGGGTCCCACAATCCTCTTTGAGGACACACCCCCAATGACCTCATACTTCCTACCAGGCCCGGCTTTTCAAGGCTCCACCACCTTCCAGTAGCACCAAACTGGGGGCCAGGCCTTTAACACAAGGGCCCTGGAGGACAATCCAGTTCCGAACTATAGCACTGACCAACGGAGCAGAGGCAGGGGTCACTGTTGCAACCAGTGTGAGGAACCCATTGCTCTTTGTGAAGTGCAGTCATGAACCATTAAACAAAAATAGCATTAGGGAAGAAAGTCACTGTGCCGAGTGTCATGTTACGGATTTGTGAGACGTGCACCGGGCGAAATCTGTCTGTGCCTATGGAATCGTATTCAAGTTTAAAAACGAAACAGAGGAAGAGAGACGATCCAGTGACTAGAGCGGGTCCTTTGTTTCTAAGACGTAGAAGTCACTGTTCCTTTTTGACTCTGTTTACACTAGTTCCTGTCCTTCTGTACAAGAAAACGAACACATGGGATCTTTTAGTATGTTTCTCGGGGCACTTGTGTGATTCTGCTGTCCATTCCTTATTTTATTTAAAAAATGTGTAGAAAAAAATTACATAATACTTACTGGGGCCGGATACTATGCTAAGCCATTCAGGAGAGTAATTTTTTGAGAATCAGAAGTACTGGGACCCTATGGGGTGGAGAGCTATTGCTGTTCCCATTTGACAGATGGGTAAACAAAGGCACAGCCCAGTAAGCCCCTGTCTTAGTCTCTCTCCCGTCACTGAGCCACAAACCCGACACCCACAACCTAAAGGAGGAGACGTTTATTTCGGCTCACGTGTCAGTCCATGGTCAGCGGGGTCGAAGGCAGGATGGCGAGGCAGAAGGGCCTGGTGGAGGAGAGCTGTCATGGCAGGGGGACAGGAAGCAGAGAGTGGAGGGAGGGCCTGGAGGGAGGTAGGACACCCTCCGGGCCACAGCCAGGCCCTGCCTTTTCCCACCACCTGCACCTAACAGCAAGCCGGGTGCTCCGCCTGTTCCCGTGACCTACCCACCTTCCAGACATGCAAGACTTCAGGAGCCAGTTAGACCTCGGCCATGACCCTGGCCAAGGTCTCAGAGACAGCATGCGGTCCCCGCCTTTGACCTCGGGGCCTGTGCTGTGACACTGGCCGGGGCCTGCAGAGGCGTGGCAGGTGTCCCCGGCAGGCACTCCCACGGCACCCGCTGTCGCCCCTGCCGGACTGGACGTGCGGCAGTGCCCAGTACCAGCAGCTGTGAGGCACGTGGGTGCAGGGCTCTTCCTCCAGTACCCATGCTCTGATCTCCTGGCCCTGTGGTATGACCTTCTCGGGCGTAAGAGTCGCTGTGGCGGAGGATACGTTAAGGATCTCAGGTGGCCCCGTACCCAGTGACTGTGTCCTTGTAACAGAGACACACAGAGGGGACCTGGAGGCAGGCGGAAATGGTGGGGAGCAGCCCCAGCCCTGAGACGGAGGACACCAGGAG